ATACACACATATACATATATATATATACACATATACATATACATATATATATATATATATATACACACACACACACACACACATATTTATTAACAGTGTGGAAGGACGTCTTAGTAGATGATTTACTTCCATTTAGATTTATCTTCAAACAATACATTTAATTTACTAAAACGAATAAAAATAAAACACGCTACGCACATTAAACTGTTTCAAACAGCATTTATTGTTGTGTGAGAAAATATTGTCTCGGGCAGATTATAGATCTTGCAATACAATTTAAATGACAAGATCAAAAATCTCCTGTGCCACCAAGGGAAAAAAAACGAACAAAACTTGCAGGCAGGTGCGGCAGCTTCTGCCCACAGAGTTAAGGTCTTGTGCCTCCTCGCTTTTAGAGAATATGTTCCATGTTCCACATGTTGGTGAATACCATCACTGTTACAAAGAGCTACGTAGCATCATACATAAATCTTTTCAATATTTAACTTTTTAAATAACACTCTCAACTGCCACAAATTATAAATTAAAATCTAAACTCGATTTTTGCATTCCTTAAATTACTTCATGTAAGCCGATATAAACATACATTTACATATTTACAAAACTATACACATGCACTTTTACTACACTGAGGTTGTATACATGTATGTATAAGCTGTACACACACACACTCTCACGCACGCACACACATACACACACAAGGTTTTGCCACACATATGGCTCCAGGAGTCACCAATCCAATCCTTAAAAGTAACCATTTGTGCTTTTCAAGTTTCCTCAGCCACATTTGCATTCAAGTGCAAATTCTTGAGTGAGGATCGCAGTAGACTTTTTTTTGCCCCTCCCTCCCCCACAAACCATCTCACCTCTGTAGTGACTTCACATCTAACTAACCAGGTAGCTGCACCGGGTACGCCGACATTCTCATATCACCGTACAGTTTCACAATATGGAAAAATTAAGTAAACACTCTAAAGTCTCACCAACGACACGTCATAGCTGGACTGAGAGTTTGGGACCTCGGAGCAAATGGAATCACTTGTTCCTTTAATGCTCACTTCAATTAGTTTTTCAAAATATAGTAAAATAAAAAAATATTTTTAGTACTCGTTTCCAAAGCGTATGCCTCATCCCTGAAAAAGTTTTTAAAAAAAAATCTATTTCAAAAAACTTAATTTTGTGCTCAAATATAAAACGCTGTTATAACAGATAAATTCCCTTTTTATTTTTTTAAATTCAACTCAGGTGACGTGACTCTGAAGTGACCCTTTTCTGGAAGGAGGAGGAAAAAATATAAATATATATCCAAGAATGCCTGGAAGATTACAGGATACAGTGAGAGAGCTCACTGAGACTTCCAACTACCTGCAGCATTTAGGTGTAGCCAGATGCTCAGCAATATCAGTCAGAGAACAAATGATGCATGGTTATCGTGCATACACCAAGAAATTCCCAGAACTGATGAATAAACATGAGCGCATGAAAAACAAAGTCCTGGAGTCAAATGTTACCAAAAAAAAAAAGAAAAAGTTATTTGCACCCCTTCTGGTATAGTTTCAATGTGAATGCCTGCAGTAACAGCTTTGATGTAATACCATGAATATTATCCTCCCATGCATTGCTGCTTATCTTGGTCAGAGAAACAAGAGTCTAAGCAGAGATACCCCCAACCTCCCACTCCCAGCTGTTCTGAAGGAGACCCTGAGGCATTCTTAATCTCTTTCGTGTGTCTAAGTCCTCCTTCCAGTTGGAAGTGGCCTAAACATTTCACAAAAGAGGCATCCAGGAGGCGTCATGACAGATGCCTGAACCACCTCAACTGGCTCCTTTCAATATGAAGAAGCTACTCCGACCTCTTCTGGAATAAAGGAGCTTCTCTCCTTGTTGCTAAGAGAGATCCAAAAACCCCTCGGAGGAAGCTCTTTACCACCACTTGTATCCACAATCTTGATCTCACCACCTGCAGCTTGTGGCTTTAGAAGAGGGCGGGAAAAGAAGGTCCACTGATAAATCGACAGCTTCAGCAACACTGCACCAGTCTATCTCTGAATATTAATGGAACAAAACTCATAGTAACTAAACAAACAGAGGAAGGAGCAGCTTATACATCACCTGCAACATGCAAACAACAACATGCAAATGGTATTATTATTGTTATTATAGAGAACTCTTGAAGACAAACCCGTGTCCATAGCTGTCCAAGTCCAGATATGACGTGAATGTTAAGTGGGACTTTCAAACTTCAGTATACACACTGACGTTTCAATGGCAAATACAATCTAAATATATTTTCAATCAAGAAAATCCCATTCACGATTAAATAATTACACTTTTCTCACGAAAGTCTCGACTCACTTTGGCCTAAAATAAAATCTTTATATGAACACGTAGCAACAGTGGTTGTGGAAAACAATTTAAAAAAACGTACACAAATAAATGAACAAGTAAATCTACAAAAAAGCACTTTTCCCCCTCCTCATTTCAAAAATCAGTTTTAAAAAAAACTTTTTATGCAGATAACCTTCAAATACTACACCTATTGGGAAGCGTTTGTTTTACTTTCCCAAATTTTTTTAAAAACATTGAAGAAGCTTTGTACACACGACCAGGCAGCTTATTTAAGATGATAAAATCTTTAAAATTAAATTTTATATAAATTGTATTTTTTAAATTTTATATAAAATTGGAGGGTGTGAAGTTAAGGTTTCCTCTCACGTGGTTTAAATGTACCATAGCTCGGTCATAAGCAGTGTGCACAGACTTGCGAACGCTGGGTTTTTTGCCTTCCATTAACCGCAGCTTGTCTACAGTGTCGTCCATTCCCAGCGGCAGTAGTTTGTTACGAGGGAGCCATTGCCTGAAAATGAAGAGGGACATTTTTTTTTTCATTTTACGTTTTAAATTTAGGTGACAAAGACTAACGCTAAAATACAACATGAGTTTATCCCTGACTGTGTGAATCTCACCAAGTTCTTTTGGTGTCAAAGAAGAGCACTAAGAAGAGCTTCTGGTCTTCCTCAGTTTGCCTCCATTCACCAAGTTTGAGCACCTCCAGAGGAGGCACGGGAATGGGTATGCCATTGTGGAGAAGTCCTTCCTGGGGCATGTCAGGATCAACAATCTGTAACAGCAGATTATGTCATATACAGCAAATTTAGCAACACAGGAACAAAGTTTATCTAGACCAAGGCTGTCAAACATAAGGCCAGGGGGCAAGAGACTGCCCGACAAAAACTCCAATCCGGTCCATTGGACAGCATTGGAAAATGTGAAGCAGGGAACAAATGTTTGACTTTTCACTGTATTTTCATTAATTTACAACTTTTCCCTCACAGGTATTCATACTACACCCAAGTAATTTGGGGTGGCTGTAGTTTAGGAGGTTGCTCCTTCGTGCCATGTGGGTGATTGTTAGACAGAAAGCACTACAGCATAGAAGAAAGTGCTTGTGTAAATGGGAGAGTGGAAAATCACTACATAAGAGTTTAATTTAGTAATAAATAAACACTATCTACAACCATTTTTATAATGAGTAATGAAACTTGTTTAGGTTGATGGAAAGAGGAGTTTTTTTGGTCCGGCCCATTTAATATCAAAGTGCATTGTATGCAGCCCGCGATGTAAAATGAGTTTGACATCCCTGATTTAGACCATGGAGTGTAAGACTGAATGCATCCTCACCATTGCCGGATACGACGGATATCCCCTGCATTTGGCCCAGACTAGGTCCAGTGGTGCAAGTTTGGTCTCGCTATCTAAAGACAGAAGTGTAGACTTTCCTGTGAACAGGATATCCCAATACATGCAATTAATTTGCATTCATGACAGATCCTGAGCCCAAACTGAGAAAGAAATGAAATGTGTATTTTTTTTTATGTGTGTAGGCTAAAAAATTGCTAATCTAAACAGAAACAGAGCCATTTCACTGTGTTTTGTCTTCTCGTGATACACACCAGATCCGGAGATGTCTCCGTTCTCGCTGCTAGGAACTTTAGCCAAAGCAGGTTTACCCCGACTGCGTTTGGGAGGAGAGACACTGCAGAGAGGAGTGGAAACCAAAACAAGAAGGACCTTTTTAAATTCAAGTCAAATTTATGGAAAAAACGTGCATGCTTCAGTTCAGCACTAGTTTTTCCTGTCCTACTCATACTCACCTTAGGTTGGAGTCGTCTTCATCGTGTTCTGCAGAGCTGTGCTTTCCATTTGTCAGGCCTAGCAACACCACAAACCACATGGTGACAAATACAGACTTTCTTCCCCCTGCTTTCTTTAGAAAATCAAATATCTGTAATGCAGTGATCCATCCGGTCCTTACCTCCTTCTGTGGGCGGAGGAGGGAGTTTGTCTGCCTCACTTTCTGAGCTGTGGCCTCTAGACCTCAGGCGGTGAGAGGAGGGAGAAGGAGGTGCTGGGGAGGCGTTTGGGGTAGGAGGTAATGTGGTGATGTTGTTCACACTGGGTGAATTCGGGCTGGTGGCGGTGCTATCCAACCCGTTGCTTTTAGCCTCAGAGGTTTTACCGTTCTGTTGTGGAAGGGACTTGTTCTTCACCATTCGCGCGCCATTTTTTGCTTTCTTAAACAAAACTGACGTGCGACGACCGACTCCGACCAGAGACAGTGTTGGAGGCGTGCCCAGTGGCGTGACCTCGTGAACAGCGTCTGGTTCCGAAGAAGGCGTTTCTCCGACTTCAGCCTCATCTTCGCCTTGGCTTTTGCTTCCACTCCGGGAGGACCTCTGACGTTTGTAGGAACGTCCGGGTGACCTGCGTCCTCCCGTTACAATGCCCAGGACAGGGGGCTCCAGGGGAGCATCGCCTGGCAGTGGTGATGATACTGGGCAGGTAAGCTCTAGCACAGGTGGAGAGTCATCTGGATAAAAGAGAATTTTTTTTCATCTTACAAGTAATTCATCACCTAAAATCTTCACTGGATGCAGATTTTCCAGTGTGAGAATTTAACTTTGCTAAATTAAAACTGAAAAAAGCTAGATATTAGACTATGAATTATATTAAAAAAACAATAATAAGTAATAGTAATTATGTATAAACTGCACAATTACTGGCTTAATTACCTGCTCTAGGGTTTGACACTGCTGTCAATAGTCCATTCTCCACATTTGTCTTCTCCCTTTTCTTTTCCTTCTTCTTCTCCACCTCGTCTTCCTCCTCCTCCTCTCCCTCTTCTTCCTTTCCTTCATCCACCTTCTCAATGCCATTCACAGACTGAGCACTTTGCTGCTGGTTCATCTTCTGCCTCAGAGTGTTGATCTCTCGGCGCAGCAGCCTAATGCGCTTGGTGCGGCCGCCGCTGGTACGCATGGATGCGACCACGTCCAGTTTATCCAGTAAGGCCTTTAGTTGCTCCTCTGTGGTTAAGTGCAGTCTGTTCTCTGGGTCCAACAGAGAGTCAACTACAGAGATTACAACCACAAAAACAAGAAGGAGGAAAGAAAAAAAAAGCCAGATAAACAAATGAAGCCTGAGGGTTACATCCAAGAAAAGATGTGATCTGTGTCCCGTGCTCAACTCACCATCATCCCATGTACAGTTGTAGAAGCCATGTTTGTTTGGAGCCTCTGGCAGGTGCATGCCTGTACTGGGGTCCAGGCCGATGCTCTGAGACTGCCTGTGGGCGTGGCGGAGAACGGCACCTCCCACCTCCCGCAGTTGTAAGGCTGCTCTGTGGAACATGGTGTCCTTGGAGTTGTACTTGAGGCAGTTCGAGATCATGAGGTCGAAGTCCTCTTCTAGGTCAGTGATGGAACAGTAGGCATGTCCCTCCAGTTTGGTGCGCATAGTAGAGAAGTCCATGGGTTGGGTAATAAACTCCAGGTAATCTGGGACCTCAGCGAATCACAGAAAAAAGGAATGTCAGCAGAGTCACAGTACAGTCAAAGTAGCCATGAAGAGTGAAGAGTGCATTCAGAACAGGCTGCTGTCTAACTGCACCGACCTCTGACAGATTGACGGGCTGAGAGAAGATTTTGGCTGTGTCCTTCTCTTGTAGTTGCTCCAGGGTGGATCTCAGAAGCACCAGCGCAGGAGTCAACTTCAGCTCAAGAGCAGCCTGCTGAATTTTCATCTGTGTGCAGTGACATAATCACACAGGGGAGAATACAAGTTCACTCTGTGGGGTGCAAAAGAATGACAAATGCTGCGGGGAACAGAAATTCATGCTCCCTTGAAATGTTATGTCAATTTCTCCTCAACAGCTGGTGATTTCTTAAATTAAAACATTCAATTATTGGTCTATAAACTTTCAAAAACAGCAAAATCCTCAGAAAGTTTTTTTCCAACTGTGAAATATGCAGATTTCAAATCATAGATCAACAACTACTTGGATTTTGCCAGAAAAATTAACTCAAGAATATCCCAAACTATGAGATTAACTGTATTTTTTTTTCATTTACAGTTGTTTCAGCTCTTCTGCAACAATGACTGACAATATTTGATAATGTAACTCATCTCATGCCTCAGACTTCCTTTTAAACACACCTGTTCTCTCTTTAGCCGCTCCCTCTTGCGGATGAGCTCCACCAAAAGTCTCGCTCTTTCCAGGTCTTGCCTCAACTTTTGCCAGTATCGCAGCTCCTCTCGCGCGGCACTCAGCTTTTCATCAGGCTCCCTCTGAAAATGATAGAAAAAGCTTTAAAAAACACCATAATTATTCTTTTTGTCTCTCTCTTTAGTTCTCTCTGTCCAGATGAACAGCATCAAGTTTTGGGGATCTACACAAGCTACACATCCAAAGTTGTTATAAAAGTTTAAAAGAAATCGAAAGAACGTGAGTTGAAATAAAGTATATTTACCAACTTAGCAACTGTGAACAAATCTCTTTTATCAGCTGTGTATTGCGTAGGACATCTTTGCCATCTCTGATAATAACTAACGACACATTTTCACAACATTTTACAGGCCATCTCGACACATTGCCCAGCAGCAGCAGCAGCAGCAGAACTGTGAAGGATTTTGTGGAGGTTTCCCATATTCAAAATCAGCCACTGCAAAGTGTGATTTCTGGGCTTATGTTGGATTTCAGTGTGTGAGGACGGAGAATAAAGTGTGAAGTGATTTTATTCCCGTGACTTGGCTGATTCTGATCTGAACAGACTGGTTCTCTGAAGGCCTCAGACACCAGTTACATCCTCCACTGACAGCAGAATAGAAATATTTCATTTTATTTTGTCATTTATATAATTTAAACACTCAGCTGCATTCATATTGTTTCTGCTGCTATCAGTACAGACACCAGCTTTACAGAAGTGAGAGATCTGACTACAGTCACATGGGTCGGCGATGGCGAAACCACAGATGCTGTGTTTGCAGTTGCATGTGTGAATGCTAAAAATGTAGTTTATTTTCATTTGTGCTCAGTCATTTACACACCACTGCAGTGCAGTTAGTACTGAACAGTCACTGTTGTGTTATAGGTACATTTGATGACGTCTCTCCTCACCTGCTCTGCAGTCCTGTGGGCCTGTAGGTGGGAATGAAGCCGCCGTATTAAAGGCATCCCATTTCGCGACTGTCGTTTCAGCAACCAGTAGTTATGAAGCCGCTGCATGAACTGGTTCTTTCTCTGGACTTCAGCTCCTGTGCAGATCTTGTTCAGCCTGTTGAGACACAACGTGAGAGTTTATAGATTAAAATACTAGTATTAACATTATAACCACTGGATAGTGACATTATGATAAGGCTATCTGTAAAAATCTCTCAGTGACATAGATTAAAATCAGACAGCAGATGGTAAACTATGGAAATTTGTACAGTATGCAAATGACACACCTGTGCGACGGGATCTGAGGCACCAGCAGCACAGGAATATTGGAGCGACGTGACCCACCAGACCCTTTTGAATTCTTCTTCTTTTGTCCTTTGGTAGCTTTCTTGTTTGGTGATGAGGGGGGACTCTGAGTATAAGACCGCTGACCCCGATTACCCCTGCCCCCCACGAGCCTCCCTTCCACCGACTCATCTCCAGACCCGTCTCGCCGAGACCCAACAGGAGAGTGATGCTCACAGAAAGCAGTCTTCTTCACGGAGAAGGTGGTGCCGTTAACACCCGTCTCCCGGACTGGGTCTATCTTCATGAACAAGCCAGCCTTCTGGGCGCAGGTGACGTGAAAAGCCCTGTAACAGTTGGCTTTGTGGCACTGAATGGACGCTCCCCTGCCTTTCTGCTTACACAGGTAGCAGGTGAGCTTCCAGCGAGCGGGAGGGATGTTACTGACCCCCTCCACGGGCTCAAGGAACACCGTGTTGGCAAAGCAAACTTCTGGGATCCATATGGCACAGACAACATGGGCCCAACGCCCATCGCTTGTCTGTTTGAAGGCACCTCCTCGGTTGGGACAGAGAACACAGTCTACAGGGCGGGAGGGGGACTGCAGGCAGCAGCGGCACAGCCACTGGCCCTCGGGGACGTAGGGCACACCGTAACACTCCTGGTGGACGGCCAGGTTACAGATGTCACAGAACAGGATGACGTTACTGTTCAGACATTCGTCATCCAAGCAGACGCAGCAGAAGGCATCCTCGTCGACAGCATTCTGGGACAGAGCCTGGCTGCGGGACTCCAAGATGGATTCCCTCTCCAGGCGGTCGATGAGCAGCTCAAAAGTGTCCGGAGATACGGATGCATGGCCATCGGACACCCTCTTCTGGTTCACCATCTCCAGCCAGGCGAGGTCCTCCTCGTCCATGTCGTACTCTGCCACGCTGTCCTGCTCCTCCCCGGATTTTTCTATGTAACGATAGTAGGCTGCCGGGAGAGGAGGCGCCTCTGTGGGGGAAACCGAACTCAGCACGCGGAAGGTCGGCTCAGGCAGAGGTGTTTGGAGGGCCGGCTGCTGGAAGGAAAAAGCCGATCCTGTGTGCTGATTAGAGCTGGAGCGCTGGTTCTGGTTTGACGTGTTTTTACCACTCCTCCTGTTTTTGCCGTTTGCGGGTTTCCTCCACGTCCTGGTTTTACTCTGTGTCTGCTCACTGTTCTCCTTGTTACTGTTGCACTCTGCAATGTCCTGGGCCATCATCTCGTCCTCTGTGATAACTGGCAGAGGATCTGTGATGTTAATCCGATGGAGTCTTCCATCTAGGTCCACTTCCACTATTTTCTGAGCCTGAGCGTATGTCAAAGTCTCCCTGGATGGAGAGAGCTGTAGTCTGTAAGGGGAGGGGGGCCGCAACTGGCCAGATGTACCCCTGCCCCTTCCTCTCCCTCTGCCTCGACCCCTACCCATGCTGAGTCTGCTAACAACTGCCTCACATTCCCACCTCCTCGTCTTCTGCATGGGACTTTGCACTAGCTCCCTTAGAAATAGAGAAGAAAAATGTTTAATGCAATGATTGAAATTGCAGCGTCAACACTATTTGGTACTTTGTGAAATTATATGCAAAGATTTACTGTAGCTGCTGTATATTCACATTGGAGAGCATGGAAGATATAAAAGCTTAGGGGACAGAGTGCCTATATTAAGATTAGAGAAAACAAAAATCAACATATCACCAAATTTCTTCTACAAGCAACTTTCGCCACTCAGTAGCCACCTTGGTAACTCATTTAGGCAGCTATTTTGATACCCTAACGAGGCAAAATAACTATCATTTCAAAGGGGCATTAAACCTGCATGCATACAATTCACAGTCTGGCCATTTTTTCTACGACACATTTGCAAAAATTCAAAACAACACAGCTTCCCTTAAGGATTCATAAGAGTGCAGACACGATCCAAACACAAAGGAAAAATGGCAAAGCACACAAACCTACACCTTTGCTGCAAAATTCAATTCAATTTTATTTATATAGCGCCAAATCACAACAACAGTCGCCTCAAGGCGCTTTATATTGTACAGTAGATCGTACAAAAAGCAAGTAGAAACGCCTGCTACGATACAGCTGAAACTATCATGAACCTCAGTCGTGCATGTGCGTCAGACAATAAAACAACTGGTTGACTGCCAATTCTGCCATTACAGATTTCAAATCATCTTTGGTCCTGATTAAGCTCACTGGGTTAAGCAGGCAACCCCTCTGGCATATGGCTAATGTGGAGGCCTGGGTTCAGTTTTTGTTGTCTTCTTACTACTATCCTACCAAATAAAGGCTAAAAAGCCCCCTACCCAAAATACATATTCTTTTAATGCTCTATCTATGTCTTATTTAGTCACTGGGATCACGTTGTTTGGATTAACAATGAAAGCATTTCACATTAAAACTGTCTGTTTAATTTTATTTCTACAAGACAAGCAAAACGTTACATATAATTTTTGGCTGCAATTTTGGTAATGTGGAAGGTAATTTATGGTGCACCAATTTATGTACAGCATTACCTGTATATGGTTCAAATGACAAGTAAAGTGATTTGACTTGATGTTGCACTGTACCTATTGTGTACTAACAATAAATCCAATTTGACAGGGGCCCATTTATTTTTCTATTATTTTCATTATTATTGCACTTTTCCAATATTCGGGAATAATTTGCAAAATTTACCGACCAATATAAAGCAACACTCAATAATCTGCTCTGCCAGGTAAAGTAGTTTTTGTATGCCTGTGGCTCTTAATGTGGTTTTCTGTATGTAAATTAAGGGTCACACCCAGCATTCACACATTACATATATTTTTATCACCACATTTCCAGAGTAAGAAAAATAAAGCCCCTAAAACACAAAGCGTTATAAAGACGTAATGAGAATATATAAGTTTTATGTATCCATTAACGTGGTTTTTTTTAATTAATTCTGCCCTAAAAGCTTGCTTTATTCTGTTTATTGGTGTTTTCTTTTTTATTCCTGTGTAAATAATTACAGGGTAAAAGGGGGTCAGCTCGGGTGCTGTGCTCTGTAATAACACAGTAAGCACTCATGTTGCACAAACCCAACTACAGTAACTTGCACTGCTTGCATCTCGCCTCTCTCACCATTGGTCAAAAGGGGAGTCCGTAAAGCGAGCACAAGTCTCGCCCACCAATAAAATGCTAGCACCATGTTTTTTTTCTACCCCCTTGTTGCTGTGCCTAGTTAGGTTGAAGCGCGCTAAATACCAACCCGAGTATCTAACATCTGTCAGCCATTTTAGGCGCACAACAGCAGAGACAACGACTGTATTGCAAGTTGATTAGCAGCCCAATTATACATGCAAACAGCAGCCAGAGAGCAGGTGCACTGTATGCACCGAGTCCGAATGCATATTACATTGCATGTATGCTTTAGATCACGACAGTGCAAACGTGCAACGTTTTCGGGTATTGCTTTGTAGTCCAGACCCCTGCAAAAAAAAAAAAAGACCGTCTCTTTGCCGATGTGATAACGTTTCTCGGTCGGACAGGACACACGGATGCCGTGTGACAGAAAGGCTGATTTTCCTATCAGTCCTGAAAGTGCCCTTTAAAAAACACACCAGAGTTGTTTACCTTGTTCAGTCGTCCTCTGCAGTGCGAGTGCCCGACAGAAAAACTGCACCAAGCTAAATGTCAGCTACTGACAGACTACAATCAAGGCAGACATGCTAGCCGTTAGCTTAGCTAGCCGGTAATTTCAGGAGCGACAGCGTCATCTTCAGCACTCCCGTTCTCCGCCGTGACTGCGCTTAAACACACAAACTCGACCCGGTTTCATTGGTGTGGTTTTAATCTTTCAAACGATAGTGGTCATCAAACTAGGGACACCGAAATCCTGAAGATATCAAATTAATGTACCTTGGATGAGGCTAAATATTCAGTCAAGATGGCTTGAAAAATACGCCCCTTTAGAAAAAACCCACCTCAGCCAATCACAGGGCGCCGCTGCACCTCGCATTCAACGCGCACCGACTTCCGATTGGTCGATGCGCTAAAGCGGACTCATCGGACTCGTTCTAGAGCTCATCATCGAAAGAAGCGGTGAGGAAAACAACCGGAAATTTATTGCGCGCCTTCTGGCCTTGTCTCCCATCTCCTCCAGACCAGCGCAGTACCTGTTTCACCACATTTTCAAAGGGGAACATGCGGGTTAGTTTGTGGAGCTCGTAGCAGAAACGATCAGTGAAGAAAACACATTGCTGCTACCATCAGGACTGTTACCTGTCTATTCATTATTTTCATTTGTGATTACAATTTTATTCTGACGGTATGGGTGTTTATGCTTGTTTGTGTGCACAACAGTGCTTCCTTCCTTTAAAGGCCTAAGGCTACCTGAATATTGTTGCTTACTGATTTCTTAAACATGACAATGAGTTCGCCAAACTCCAATGACCCCCACAGTCACCAAGCCTCGAGCCAACAGAGCACCTTTAGGAGGATGAGGTGGAAGTGATGGGAGAGTCACATGGCGGTACAGCTGGCAACCATACTGAAATGATAACTTCTGCTGTTGTCATGTCAATCTGGACCAAACCTTTTGAGGAACGTTTACAGGACCTTGTTGAATCTATGTCATGAAGACTTAAAGCATTTGGCTTGATGCACGCTCAGTCATCCATGTAAGGACATACCGCTACGTCCAGATGAACAGAATTGGAATTAAGTATGGAATTAAAACACTTGTGTAGGTAAAGTGGGGTCCAACAACAGTATGCCAAAAACTCCAACATTCAGCAACAACAGCAGGAAAATGCCTCAACATTATGTTCTATAACAACAGAAAGGAGCAGAAAACACAACGCACTTAGTGTTTACGAGGAGAAACTTTTTCCATCGCCCTTCTCATTGGTAGAGATCTTTTAACCACGTGAGCATGAACACTCTGAAAAGGAGTTCCCATACCGGGAGTCGAACCCGGGCCGCCTGGGTGAAAACCAGGAATCCTAACCGCTAGACCATATGGGACTTACGTTCACGTTAGGGATGTGTGCGGATGAAAAAAAAAAAGTTGAATGATGAGGAAACTTCTCCACAGTCTTTCGCAGTGGGTCTAGTGGATTTGTTGGCAGTCACTGGCAGCTGTCACTGCTTCATTTAGACCCGTTTGGAGCGATTTTCTTGCTGCTGTGAATTTAAAATTTCGACTTTCTTTGGGAAATAAAAAAAAATAACAATAATACGACTTCATCACTGGCTAAATGAAGGAAATTTCATTAAATTACTTTGAAGCCACGCCGATACTTTTTGTGCACACAACGGCAACTCCAACGGACCGTCTTCATGACAACCGAGCGAGCTCCACCCACTGCAGATGTAGACTGACGTTTGACAGCTCTGAATAGATTTGTGTTTGTGACATGTGTAGTTTCAAGACCATATCCGCACGAAAGAAAACACAAAGCCTCTTGCATGGGTTATTTTTTATTTTATTTTTACATTTTATTTCCCACTGACCCTTTCTGCATGTCTCTATCGGCTTCTTTCATTTCTCTAATGTGTACCTCCTGGTCTACTCAGACCTGACCTGACCTGACCTGACCTGACCTAGAAGGTCATGTTGAAAGGACAGAGGAGGCTTGATCAAGTATGCATGGGTGTGTCCTCCGGGGGAACATAAAGCCTTTAAAGTGCATTTGTGTGCTTCTTGTGCTTGTGTTATAGCCACTTCCTGTTTTCTGTTGGTTATCACAGTTGCTAGTGAGATTTTTTTTCTTCATTTGCTTCCTGTCTTTATTTTTGATCTCTTTTGCCATCCTCATCAGTTTCCCCTGCCATCATCTTCTTAGTTTTTTGTGTGCCCCCAATCGGTTTCCCAGTTTTTACCAATTGCTCATTTTCTTTGCTGGTGTTCCTCATGCCATCTCAGTTTTTGGTTGGTTTACTTTGTTGGACCTCTTCACTGCCAGCATCCCGCAGCTAGCCCCTTTTATTTATTTCAGTAAATACCCTTAAACATCAAGCCACATTTGATTTTATTCATACAAATTATTGATGCTGCCATCAACTGAGTGGACAAAACCCAATTCTATAAGCATGATTACAGCTAAAATTTTGACCTTCTGGTCCTGGATTTGAGCAGCTTGTATGTTTCCAGTGTGTCTGAGTGGTTTTTTTTTTTCCTTACCATGTACTTTGGCTTCCTCCCACAACTTAAAAGCATGCATCGGGCTAGTTTTATTGGTGATTCTTATCAGACTGTAGGCTTGAATAGTTGTCTATGTATTAGTCTATGTAAAATGGGGAAAAGTTGTCTCGGTATAAGAAGGAAACAAATCCTAATAGTGCTCTGGAGAAAACCACCACACTCACAGGAAATAAGCAATACATTTTTTTCTTTTCATAGCAGACTACTGCACTGGGAGTGCAATTTCGGTCTGCAGTCCATGGCCTAAGAACATGGTCTGAGTTTTCAGCCTGGTTATAGACAGGAAAAGATGGTCACTCGACGAAATAAGCAGTCAATCATATGTTGATCTTGTAGCTTCCTAAAAGAGTTTCCACCCACCTTCCACTTAAAAAAGCTTTGTGTTGGTGGGAGTGAGTTTCTACATCAAGTCCTGGGAGTGCCACTTTCAATCTCTTGGTCTTAGTGCTTCCATCAGGTTGGCCACCTACTAATTGTGCAGTAGGCTTTTCCTCCTTTAAATCCCATAATACATGCGTTGCTAGCATCAGTTCCCAGTCCATTTTTTTCTTAAAAACTCCACATATTCCCTTAAAAATGGATCTTCCTTCCACTAAAAAAGGACCGGCCAGTCCAGGGTAAAGCCATTTGCATTAAAGGTGTGCTTTTCCCCATACAACTAATTCAACCAGCTCCTCGTGTGCTCTCTAGCACCTTTGTTTCCTGCCTCTCCACACCAGAGTTTCCCCCTTTTTGTCCTCATCGAAAAGGGCTCCAAACCCACACTAACAGTATTCAACTTCAAATAGCTGGCAGCTAGACAAGAGGGGAACCTCCCACGTGGATGTGGCTAAAGTCCACACATCAAATAAATAAATAAAAACATGCAAAAGAAGAAGAATAGTCCTAAGCCAATAGCTGGCAGAAGATCCTCATAATGATTCCACTATGCCACATTCTACAATGTTATAACATTAGCTAGGAAGCCTCTTAGTTCATATTTTAATAAATGTTTTAAGACTGTGTACATTTTCAGAATTCAGATTCATTTGGGTGTAAATAAAACTTTAACTTCTTGGTTTTCCATTAATAATTAAACCATACTGTAAGAAACATGCAGTCAATCAGAAATACAAACCTGAAGAGGGGGAACAGGTCAAACACTGGTTTTAGAGCTGCAAGGAAAAAACAGTCTCTCACTCCATATTACCTTTAGCACTGTTTCATTTGCACTATTTCAAAGGCTTTCTTAGTAATTTGACACTTCACAGAGCTTCAGATGTCTCTCCAAGGTCAGTGAACACTGTCCAATAAAGCCTTGTTTATGTTCTCTGAGAGAGAATGTTATTTTATCTTCTTTCTGTGTACTGCAACCCTTTGATCGACATCGTCTCATTTCACCAGAGAGTGTAACACTGCAAAAAGTCATATTTTGACTCTTTCCCCACTGAACATTTTGTGTTTTGTGCATATGTAACATCAGCATCTCCAATAACCAGTCAAATATGCCCTAGCTTTCGTTCTTTCTACAATTACTTTTACGATGAGAGAAATCTTGCTTCAAATGCCCAGCATGCAATTTAAGTATCATGCAACATATGGGTGCTCAGCTTAACTATAATGCAACCTCCTGTGAATCAGATGATGTTTATTTGCATAATCTGTTTAGTCATCATTAGAATAAATCACATTTTAATTCACACTGGAAGCTATTTGTTTGAACATTATGCTGCTTGTCTCCACCCCCTTAAAATAATTTCCCCACATTCTCCACCCACAAAGTCTTGGTTGGCTATCTCTTGTTTCACTGCAATCTGAAAAACGCCAGTTCACAGTGAATCACAGTCGAGCGCTGGCTACTGTCAGGGTCAGTTCGAAGCTGACGTGCTGTCAAATCCTGGACTCTTTTCAGGTTAGTTTTTAAGCTTTTTTTATTGCTTTGATTGCTTTGTTTTTTGCTTTTGTGTTATAAAGTTGATGCATCTCTTCTATACATGTTCCTTAAACTACTACTACTCTCCTTATAATTTGTAGGTTGCAAGTCTAGATTAAGAGAGATGATGATGCTTGGATTGTTTCTGCTGTCCTTTGGATTTCTCCTGGACAGGGGCACATGTACTGCAAGTAAGAGACTATTTATTTAGATCACATCTATGCATAAAAGATATGGATGGATGGATGGATGGATGGATGGATGGATGGACCAACAATCCATCCAACAATGTTGTTGATGGATGGATGGATGGATTGTTGGATTGATGGATGGATGGATGGATGGATGGATGGATGGATTGTTGGATGGATGGATGGATGGATAGATGGACATCCATCCATCCATCCATCCATCCATCCATCCATCAATCCAACAATCCATCCATCCATCAACAACATTGTTGGATGGATTGTTGGTCCATCCATCCATCTATCCATCCATCAACAACAACATTGTTTTTGTTAAGTTTGCTTCTACAGACTGATATGTCACAGTTTGACCCGGTCACTGCATTTGTAATCCAGAGTGGTGGCAGCTTGCTTTCTTTCTTTGCCAAATTCCTCATGTTTCCTCCCCAGTAATTGGTAGAAAATGATCATGGTTGACAGCAAACAAATACATAAACTGTCAGCCTTGCTGAATATCAAAGTGTTGCACTACATCCTGTCCAAGAAAGCTAGCCAGCTGACACAAAAACCGATAATAAATCAAGTCCATGGAGCAAACAATGACCCTGTCTGTAAGAGTGGCCAAAAACTGACAGGGGCTTTAAGAGCTT